TATAACAGGAAGTGCCTGAACAAGGACAGAGCGTTGTCACCCTATAACAGGAAGTGTCTGAACAAGGACAGAGCATTGTCACCCTATAACAGGAAGTGCCTGAACAAGGACAGAGCGTTGTCACCCTATAACAGGAAGTGCCTGAACAAGGACAGAGCGTTGTCACCCTATGAAAGGAAGTGTCTGAACAAGGACAGAGCATTGTCACCCTATAACAGGAAGTGCCTGAACAAGGAGAGAGCGTTGTCACCCTATAACAGGAAGTGCCTGAACAAGGACAGAGCCTGGTCACCCTATTACAGGAAGTGCCTGAACAAGGACAGAGCCTGGTCATCTTATAACAGGAAGTGCCTGAACAAGGACAGAGCGTTGTCACCCTATGACAGGAAGTGTCTGAACAAGGACAGAGCATTGTCACCCTATAACAGGAAGTGCCTGAACAAGGAGAGAGCGTTGTCACCCTATAACAGGAAGTGCCTGAACAAGGACAGAGCCTGGTCACCTTATAACAGGAAGTGCCTGAACAAGGACAGAGCGTTGTCACCCTATTACAGGAAGTGTCTGACAAAGGATTGTCAAGGATCACCGGGGTTTGTAAAGAAAAATGAATTCCGATTGGCTGCTACAGGTCACATGACATTATACATAGTGTTGTATGGAGCGGCGCGGTCGGGGTTCCCCTTTAGCTCGGGTGTCAGATTTTCACGCTCGGCTTTTGTAAATCATTTTATGAAAACTGTAACCAAAAAAAAACACGACGCTGACATTTCGGGGTTAATGATTATCCTGTGCGGAGGGTCCGCCGCCCGCCCGCCCGGGTCACTCCTGTTATCCATTAACCGGATCGGCTCAATTATATAACTGACCACTTCAGGCTCCGCCCACCTGACCCGCATCATCCGCGGACGCCAAATATTCACCGCGTGTCGGAGATTACTTCACACATACGCGGATCTCATCCCACCCTGAGTGTTATGTAACCAGGAGGACATATGTATAAAGTATGTCACTCAGTGGCGTCACAAGGGGGGGTGCGGCCCGCACCCGGGTGACACCATTGAGGGGGTGACAGTCAGTTTGGTGTCACCCCCTTTGAAAAGTCATGGACCGAGCGCCCCGACAGTATCAGGAGAGAGGAGGGGACCCGGCGGCGTACCTCATCCCGCCTTGTGAACGTCATGGCTGGTGGGAGGGGCTGACAGGCAGGTCATGACTGGTGGGAGGGGTCAATATGCAGATCATGGTTGGTGGGAGGGGCTGACTAGCAGATCATGGCTGGTGGGAGGGGTCAACATGCAGATCATGGTTGGTGGGAGGGGCCGACAGGCAGATCATGGCTGGTGGGAGGGGCCTACAGGCAGATCATTGGCTGGTGGGAAGGGCCGACAGGCAGATTATGGCTGGTGGGAGGGGCAGACAGGCAGATCACGGCTGGTGGGAGGGGCCGATGGGCAGATCATGGCTGGTGGGAGGAGCCGACAGG